CTCTGATAGGCTCTCTGCAGTTTGCTTTTCTCTCAGTGTTTCCACCGTGGGAGTTTTGTGGTGTGATATTCAGATTGCTGCCACAGAGGGGTTTGCAGCCCCAGCTGATGGGAAGGGACGAAGCCTCTCACGTCGAAGGACTTGTGTGATCCTCATGGGAAAGAGGAGTTGGCTTTATCATTGTATTCAACCATCTTGCATGACTTTTTCTCTTGGGTTGCTGTGGGTTTGTTCTCTGTTCTTCCCACCCTGTTGGTTGTCTGCCTCTCCAGCGAGGCTGAACGCTGCGCTGGGCACTGCAGGGTCCTGAGGAGCTATCAGTGTATCTCAGTGCTTGGGAATGTTTGCAGGGTTAAGAGGAGAAAGGTTTTGCTGCAGACACGGTGAGCTGTCCCACTGTTCTGTATGTTCTCATCCCTTGGGTGGACTCGCTTGAAATTGGGGCTTATTCTCAGGTCTGCATTGGTTTGGTGCTTGGGTTTATTGGCAGTTTAATCCTTTGCTCCACCACCTTTGCTATCCATCTCCTCTGTCTGCACTGTGCTCGGTGCTGGTGGTCCCTCCTGTGCTGCTCGGGGTGCCTGAGGGGCTGTGGAGTGAGGGGTGGGATCTGCACAGTGCTGCCTGGGGGCTCACCTGGCACCCAGTGTCAGCACTGTTCCCATTTCTTGAGAGACTCCTCGGACACGCTGTGCATTTGGGAGAGGTGGATCCCAGCTCAGAACAGGTTGCAGCTGAAAATTGCTAAACAGGGATAAATGAATGAGAACAGCACAGAACTGGGCTCTTGCTATGCAGTAAGTGCAGCGTTAAAATCCAAACAACCAAACTTCAGCTCTTCGTCTTTCCCCTACTGCAAAACACATATCTGTTGATAAAAGCAGTTGTGGAGATGCCCTGTGGCAGGTTCTGTAGTGGAGTTTGTTGTGGAATGCGGAAATGCCTGTGGTGATGTACCAAAAGCAGAAAGCACCCCTATGTACCGTGGTGGCAAAGCAGTTGTACCCCTTTGCCGGAGGATTTAATGTGCTGCTCTGTACCAAGGTATGGCTGTGAGAGCTGATGCTCTTTTCCATTGCTTTTACAAGAGGAAAGCTTTAACAATAGTAATATTAATAAAAGGTTTAATAACAAAGCAGTGAGAATGCCAAGTGCTTAACGGTCAATGAGTTGGGTTCTGTTGAGAGCCAGTCCTGGTGATGCGAGCCCTGGGCGGTCTGTGGGGAGCAGTCAGATGAGCAGCTGTAGGTGGGATGTGGTGGAGCACAGTGTGGGGCCGGTTCAGGGCCTCAGCAGTGTGGATGGCTGTTTGGGGCTCAGTCTGAACTGGTGAGGATGGCTGTCCGGGGCTCATTCCAGCCCCATGCTCTGCCTGAGGAGCACTCGTTACCATTGGGGGTTACAGAGCAGCGACGTGGAAGTGAGCAGGGGGCAGATAACAGGGCGAGCTGCTTGGGTAATAACTCCAACCCAGGTCAGAAATGCTTCCTCCCTTGCAGCTCTCTGCTGTCAGGCTCTGAGCTGCCCTTTGCTGTTCTGCCCTGCAGAGAGCAAAGTCCGAGCTGGAGGCTGAAGAGGCAGCACCTCTGTGCTGGATGTGGCTCCTGAAGTGATCTTCTTCAGCACAAGTGATCTTTGCACATTCTGTTTTTCACGCAAGTGGCATTTTACCTCTCTGTTGTTGGCTCATCTTCAGCTCGGCAGCAGCAAGATAAGTAACACATATTGAAGAGTTGGATTGCAGATAGCCTGAGCTGGATGCAGAACCTCAGTGCCTCCTCCATCAGCACGTATGTGGGCACTGCGGAATGGGGCGAAACAGAGATACTTCAGGTTTCCCAGTGCTGATCTGAAATACTTTGCTCTTCTTATTGCAGTAGTTTCAAAACATCCATATCTTCGTCTTCAAAGCCAGGTTTCCAAGGGCACCCGTTCTCCAGGGGCTGGGCTGGGGAGGGGTGCGGGGATCCGAGAGGGCTTTTCCAGCCTTTATAACTCCGTGATTCTATGATGATTTATCCTAAGTGGTGGAGGTAAGACCTACACCTTATGCTGTTGGGAAAAGGGACCGATCCCATTCATCTTCTCAATATGAGCCACAATTTCTTTGTAAGACTCTGCAAAAGAGCCCAATTCTGAGCTGGTCTCACCCCCCCACCTGCTCCGTGCCTTTCAGGCTCTGTGCCCATTGCAACACGCCACTGAGGCCAGGCCCAGGGCCGGCAGTGTTTCCCTGCTCCTCCCAATGCGGTTGGGGCCATTGGGCAGCACGGCTGCCTCTGGGCCACCCCTGCCATGGCAGTAGCAGGCGTGGGGCCACTGCCACATACAGCTGCATGTGGCTGAGAGATGCTCTGTGCAGCTGCTTGGAGAGGAACGGGACGGCCTCGTGGTAAGGGGGAGAGCAGCTCTGCCTTGTGGCAGCACATTTCTTTGCATGTGATCAGTGTCTGCACTCAGATTTCATTCTGAGGCACTCTGCTGCCTGGTAAGCACAGTCAGGATCTGCTCACCGTTGTGGATACTGCCAGATTATGACTTAATGGAGGATTACCGCTGTGCTGATCTGCATAGTGAGGAATCTGCGCTAAATGCAGAGCTCACAGGAGGCAGCAAGTCCCCTCCTCCTGCAGCCTCAGCCCATACTTTGTGCCACACTGCTGGTCAGTCTATGCCACATGTGTGCTCTATTCTTTCCATTTAACTTCCAAACGTGCACTGCATATCTCTGCTTGCTTTAACTGTTTGCTGCTGTCCTTAAGCCGGTGTCTGAACTCGTGTTCTTCCATCTGTTGCAATTCCTGTAGCAAGAACAGAAGAAAAAACACCCTTAATGATGCCGAAGCAGGGAGCACACATTCTGCCCGGTCTCTCTAGCTAGAAGTTGCTTTCCTTGTGAGTTTTGGCACTGTGAACCCACCCGCTGCCCCTCCTGGCACTGCAGCCCTTCTGGGTAAGGTCAGCTCTGCAGGGCAGAGGCCGTGCAGCCCCAGGGCTCAGCCCATCTCTGTGAGGGGACGTGGGGCTGTGGGAGGGCTGCGTGTGGGGCCAGAGGCTGCTGGATGCCTGGCATAGCTCTGCGAGGCCACAGGATTTCGCTTGTCCTCTTTCTCCTAATTTCTCAACAAGAGAATGCAATGTGTTAAGGGAAATGTTGCCATGCTTGAGTAAATAACAGAGTTGTTCTTGTTACTGCATTAAGACCGCCTCGTTTTGAAAACTGGGAGCATGTTTTCTTCCTGCCCCTTTGATCCTTTCCTTTTAAGCCCTTCTTGTCCCTCATCCCTCCTCTTCTGCGCACTGTGCAGTACTGCAGGCTGGCTGCAGGAGCGCCGTGCAGCTGAGGGGCTGCTCAGTGGGAGAAATGGGACAGGGTGATGGCAGTGGGGACTCAGGGCCAGAGCAGAGCTGGAAGGAGCTGATGGACGGGCTCTGAAGTGTTCTGCTGGGGCGGGGGTTCATCTGGGGGCTGAACACCTCCACTTTCAGAAGCAGTGGTAATGTGATGGGGCTGTACTGACAGTCTGTACCCATAAACTTTTTGTTCTGCGTGGTGTAATGGTGTCTTGCAGAAAGAACAGGGGAAGAGCCCTGGTTTTAGCTGTGGGCAGCGAATTGGATGGGTCAGTTTCAAGCAGAATGTCCAGAACTAATAGGAAAAACGGACCTGGGCACTCCAACAGAGCGCTCTGAGCACAGCAGCAGGAAATGCCAACCTTCATGCAGCGGTGCTTTGCTCTGCCTGCAGTGAGCTGGCTGTTGGACATTGTGTGTGCGAGCTCCAGCCCCCAGCCATGAACAGGCTCCAGGTGAAGCCCTTCATTTGGGCAATAATTGATGGCCCCAGCTCGGTCAGAGCGGGCACACAGGGCTCCGGGGCGCCCTTCTCTCTCCCTGTGCTCATCTGAAGCCACCCACAGAGTTTCAGGGTATAGATAAAACAGTTATCTACCGTGAATGGCATTGAAAAGACCATTTCCTATTTTATTTTTAGCCTTGAGAAGGTGAGAGAAAGCAGCATAATGGCACATCTGAATCACTGAAGACCCTGCAGCAGCAGTTTGTTTTCATTTCCTCAAGTAATGCTTTTGTTTTGCAGCATCAGTGACGAAGTGCTTTCCCTCCTGATGTCTCATTTCCCTGGATGTGCTGGGTCTCACCCTGCCCACCCCAGGACCATGATGATGTATCTCACAGCAGCTCACCGGGTGGCTGTGCTCTCCCTGCACGGAGCTGCAGCCGGCGATGCGCCCTGCCTGCCTGCGGGTGGGATAAACATGGGCATATGGTGCCAGGGAAGTTTGTGGGGCCCGAGCTGAGGATAAACACCACAAGCTGTTCCTTGTAGTACGGGATGAAGATTGCTGTAAAGACAACAAATTGTGTGGCAGAAATCGGATTCATGGTGATGTCTGTGAGAGCTTGCTCTGCCTCGGCTGCGTCCCTCCTCAGATGTGAGCTCAGATGCAGTTACATGGAGGGGTGGGCACTCTGTGCTTTCATCTTCCGCTGGCTGGGTGTGATGTGTGATGTGTGTGATGAGGTGTGATGGCACGGCCTTGTGGAGCTCCTGGCTAGGGCAGGTGGTGCCCCGCAGAGAGGACTGCAGTGTGTGTGGGGCTGTGCTGCCTTCCTGAGCGTGGCTTAGAGATGGAACGGTGCTCTTCTGGCCCTGGTGGCCATTGGCCATCTGAGATTTGAGTCACCTCGTGCTTTTGCTTTTTAGACGTCATCTTTAAGTAAAATAAATAGCGCTCTGCAGCCTGGCCTGGTTCCCAAAGCAACAGGATGGTGCAAGGATAATGCTTTTTTATTCTGTGCAGACCCCAGGTTGTGCCACGGAGCAGAGTTCCACCTTGCAGGTGCCGCTGACCCAGTGAGGGTGTGCAGAACGCATCCCACGAGTCCATGGTGGGGCAGGGCAGGCGGGGGGGATGCTGCAGGGGCACCGCTGGCCCTGCCCTCACAGAACTGTGTGTTGCAGGGCTCCAGTGCGTGTGCCAGCTGTGCGAGCACACCAACTTCACCTGCCAGACGGAGGGAGCGTGCTGGGCCTCGGTCATGCTGACCAACGGCAAGGAGGAGGTGATCAAATCCTGCGTGTCCCTGCCGGAGCTCAACGCTCAGGTCTTCTGCCACAGCTCCAAGAACATCACCAAGACCGAGTGCTGCTACACCGACTTCTGCAACAACATCACCCTCCGCCTGCCCGTAGGTGCGTGCTGCGGCGCTGCAGCGCCTGTGCTGGCGTGGGCAGAGCGTGGCTGGGCGCTGCTCTGGGGGCTGGCAGCAGAACTGAAGCTGAGGGGGGTGGTGTGTATGGTTGTCACTGCTGGGGGGAGTCCTTGTGTCTCTGCGAGCAGGCAGGTTTGCCTTCAGCTTTTGGCCGTGCGGTGCAGGGGAGCAGCCTGTGGGACAGCCTTGCTCAGAGCTCAGTTGTGTCAGCAATCCCTGCCCAGCAGACACAAGGTGTGAATGAAATTTCTGCCTTCAGGGGATGGAGGAGCTGACTGCACCGCACAGTGCTGGACCAATTCCTGTGCAATGGAATTGGTTTGGTTCTTTAAAAAATGTATGTTTGCACTGGTTTTAGATTTAATTATTGGTAAAATACCTCACCCTTCTCTCCAGGGTGTTTGTGTGTCTAATCCAAGCTTTACAGTAAGCTGTCAAATACTCAGCTTTATCAGATGACACCTTTTGATGTACTTAGAGCAGTGAGAGATCTTACAAGTAAGAAAGATGTGGATTAATGCGTAATTTATAGTTACAACTTCCACTCAAGCTGCTATCATTAGCAGCATAGTGAAAGCACCCTGTTAATACTTGGCAGGATGAAATGCTCCTATAACACCATTCAGTATGTGAGCAATAGGCAGGTGACCACAGGGAAAGGGTGGAAGGAGAGCTGTGAATCTCATCCATGGGAAAGAGCCGTGCCTGCTGCTGGTGGCTAAGGGTTGTTCAGGTGCACATCTTCCAGCTGACGGCAGAGGGGAGATGCCAGTGGTAGCTGAGCTCCAGAAATGCAGAAACAAACCGCCACACTTGTGTAGGCAGAGATGCTGGGGCCTGGGAGAAGCTGCTGCCTACAGTTGAGAATGGAGACATGTCTGTTCCCAATGTTTGGGCTGGGTTGTGAAACCTCTGGTTTTGTATTTCAGTACCAGAGAAAATTAATTAATTTTTAGCCTGAACCCTTTCCTCTGAACATTTGGGGGAGCTCACGGTAGTCAGAAAGTGACAGTGCCAAGGCCCTTTGTTTGTCTCCTGGTCTCCCCTGACAGCCCCTTTCACACAGCCCTCGCTGTATCACAGCACTGCAGGGCTGGAAGGGTTCTCTGCACTCTCTGGTCAACCTGTGTCAAGCAGTTCCTTACAGCAGCTGCACAGGAGTGCACCCCGGTGGGTTTGGGTATCTGCAGAGGAGGAGCTGTGTGCCAGCTGTGTTCAGGCTCCAGCAGAGCAAAGCATTCCTCGGGCCACACCTGTGTGCTGTGCTCAGCTGCACAGTTCCCATTGCTGCTTTGCACGAGAGGAGGCTGCTCCTGTTCTGAGCTGAGCTTTTCACCGTGTGTGAAGGCAAACCTTTCTGGGGGCAGATGCAGGCTTCCCATCTGCTTTTTATGCACTCGCTGCCATGGATTTCATTACCATACTTTTGCATTAGGGGACGAAATGTTCCAAAGAGCAGAAGTAGTTTGCAGTGATGGGGGTTTTGTTGTGTTGCCCTGAATGTACCCCAGGTTTCTGCTATTTAGACCACAATACTGAGTGGCCCTTCCTCACAAAGTGGCAGAGCTTTGTGGAGCAGAATGAGCAGCGTGGGGTGAACAAGTGCTATGAGTTGTGACTGATGGCTCTTCCCTGCTGCTGCCCAGCTGGCATGGAGGCACTGGCAGCACCCATTGCTGCTCACACCTGCAGCGTGGGAATGTGCAGCAGGGAGAGAAAAAGGGGGGTTGAGCTGGATTTAGAAATACACGTCCCTTGTGTTTGTCCATGTTGATGGAAAAGGTGGTTTGTACTGGAAGACTAATTGCCAGGCAACGTTCTCTGTCTCTCTCCCTCTCTCTCTCTTTTCAATATTGTCTGTAGGTTTTGCATGAACAAACATATAGTCATAGAATCCTTAGAGCTGGAAGGGACCTCTGAGGTCCATCCAGTCCAACTCCCCTGCAATGCACAGGGACACCAAGCTCCATCAGGTTGCCCAGGGCCTGATCCAGCTGTGCCTTGAATGTCTCCAGGGACGGGGCATCAACCACATCACTGGGCAACCTGTTCAGTGCTTCACCACCCTTACTGTGAAAGCCCTTTTCCTTATATCTAACCTAAATCTCCCTTCCCTGAGTTTCAAGCCATATCCCCTTGTTCTATCACCGCAGACCTGCTATAGAATCTGTCCGTTCTTTCCTGTCTCTCTCCTTTAGATACTGCCAAGCTGCTCCCAGGTCACCCCGCAGCCTTCTCTTCTCCATCTGCTCAGCCCCAGCTCTCAGCTCGTCCTCATAGGAGAAATGTTCCATTCTGTGCATAACTCTGTTACATTTACCTGCTTGAAAGTGCCCCAAGACACCAAAGCCTTTATCTGTGCATTCCATTCATCTAAGTATTCAAGAAGTGGACACTGCTGTATGAGAGCTTTTACAAATTTCACATTATAAAATGTGAACCTTATAAAACTGGCATTAATTGTCTGTTAGTGAGCAGGACGACAACGGTTCACTTTGCTTTCCCAGCACTCACTTGGCCAAGCACAGAGTTAGGTGGAAGCTGCAGAGCAGATAGTGAGTGAAGAGGCTTTCCAGTATCTTCCCAGCACGTGCTGATGGCTAAGAGCAGGGAGGATGGAGAATGGAGCACAGAGAGGAGAGGCGGGGAAATATTTTGATATATTTTTCTCCCTTCTGCATGGCCGCTTCGGTTCCTCTGAGTGGATGAGCTCGAGAGCCGATGCCGGAGTGCAGAGCTGACAGCGTGTGTTACTGCAGGTTGTGTTGTGTTGCTGCAAGTTCATCCAGTTGGCCGCTTTCTGCTTTGTTTTCTGACGGAGGCATTTCGGTCTGCGGCAGCCTGGCCATCAGGACGGGGTCAGGACTGGGAAAAGCGGGGGGCAGGAGGAGCTGCTGCGCCCAGCTCTCAGCGCCCTCAACCCGAGCTCCTTTGCTCCTCACGTCCATGCGGCTCGGTGCTGTGCCGCAGCCCTCGGGATGCTCGCCCTGAGAAGCCCTGCAGGCGGTGCTGCAGCCTTCGTGGCTGCTCCGTGTGCCGTGCGCCCTGCTGGCTGCGCGCACCTCGCCTGGCCCGGATCCGTGTCCTCTGCGGGGATTTGTAAGAGCACAGCCAGTGCAAGGGAGGTGGGGGCAGGGGCAGGGAAACAGCAATTTAGATAATGCTCTGTTTATCTCACAGCTGTATCCCCGAAGGCTTTCCTTGAACCTCGGCACCCTTTGGCAGCCATTTCCCAGCTGTTTTCTGGATGTCCTGAAAGCCTGCAGTCATGGAACTCTGCATTAAATGCAGTGTATTTCCTTACAGCAATGGAAAGAATGATTTTGGTTTTCTTTTTCCATCTCTGAAAAGTTTGGTAACTTAAATATGAATAGTTTTGTGCTTTCGGGAGTCTTAAGGTGGCATGTCAAAATCCAGGCAGGTGCTGTGTGAGAGAATGTCTTTTCCATGGGAGCAAAGAGAACCATCCTTCTTTTTTTCCTGCCTGAAAGCACTCCTGTTTACACCACTTGGAAGAGAGCTGCACCACATTGTGAAATTGCTGGAAGTTGCCAGATGTTCTATTTTTGTTTCGTACATGACAACAAATCTGCAGGGCCTATTCCTGATCAGTAAGTCAATAATAGATTAGAAATAAGATTGCAACATGTTTTGATTAATGGTGTTGATTTTAGTGCTTTAGGTATCCATGAGAGATGTTCTTATTTCTCAAAGAGTTGAGTGTTGCACAATTCTGTAAACATTACCACACTTATTTGGTGATTTGGTCCTAAACTGCTGTTTGTACGGTGAGCGCTGTGTGTTTTGCACTGGCACTGTTTGTCCCTCCCCGGGATGTGCTTTTGGAGCAGCCCCACGGGTGCCAGCTCTGAGCCCTGAGGTGGGGCTGTGGCTGCAGGAGCTGTGCTGTGGGGTCAGTGCTGGGAAGTGCAGCAGAAACCACAGTGCTGGTAATTCCTGAGACTCCTATGTGTGCTCTGCGCAGGCCTGGCCAGGACTGGAGTGGTTGCCACCAGTGCTTTGTCTTCCCTACCAGTGAGTGCTAGGAGATGGCTGCTGTGGGCTCCAGCTGCTCCTCCCAGCAGGCTTCCCTGGCCAGGGGGCCTCTGTGTCCCCCAGGAGCTCAGTGCAGACCCCAAGCTGTTCCGGGAACCCCATCCTCCAACCTCTCCCCTTCTGTGCCCGAGCTCCCAACCTGCAGCAGCAATCTCAGAGCAGACCTGTAAGTGTTGCTGAAGTCCATTTCATTCCAAAAATGCTGCTTAGGTTGTGGAGTTGGTGTCTGTTTGCATCCCTGGTGCTGGATGTCAGCCTCATGAGTGGATCTGTCTGAATCTTGTTTCTGCCTTGCGGGCATCTCACTGAGCCCCCATAATGGCCATGAGTGTGCTTGAGTCCTCCTATGGCCCTGAGAGAGAAGTGCCAGGAAGGGGATGTGTGGCAGCAGTGGATGTATGCGGCGGTGCAAAGCGACAGAGATGAGAGGATAGAGCATCTCAGCTGGTGAGGTAAAGCCTTGTCTGACAGCAGCAGCTTTGTGCATGTGGTGGGGATGGAGCAGCGGGCATCCAGCATCCCACCAGCAGTGCTGCTCGGCCCGTGCAGCCTGCCTGTTCACCCCATCAGTACGGCTGTGCAGCCTGCCATGTGCGGGGCACCCACATGTGGTGGTGCTCAGGGAGCAGCTGGGGCCGATGCTTTGCAGTAGCACTGCCTGCGCAGCTTCCAGCAGATAAGTGGCATTGCCCCCTGGGGGCTGTGGGAGCTGGGAGCTGTGGGAGATGGAAGGTGCCCTGCTGCACGTAGCTGCCTGCTCGGTGCACTTCACACCTCCCTGAGCATTTCCCTTTGGATGCTGTTTGCACCGTCCTTAGGACGAGCAAGTTTTTCCTTTAGAGCATTTTCCGCTGTGCTGTTTTTCAGCAGTTGGTGGCAGGAACTGATGCTTTAAAGGGTCTTTCTGTATGCATTTCTTTACCAGCTTCCCGCACTAGGAAGCGCCCGTGTCTGCACAGCCTCCTGAGCAGTACTGAAGGAAAACTCCTGGGCAAGATGGGGCGAATTTTATTTGCAGAGCAGTTTGAGCTGCACACTGCAAACAGATGCAGACCTCTTGTTAACACTCTGTTTCCTTTTTCCCTTGGTCAAAGCTGGGTGGAAGAAAGAAGGCAGCTCTGCAAAGCTGATCACAGCTCCGGCACCTTTGCATTGCCGAGGGCACATCTTGCCACTGTGGAGAAACTGCTGCTGGTGTCACTGCACCTGGAGGAGTGTAGCCTTCGGTGCTGGGCTGGGGAGATCCACCTTCCTCCTCTCCTCCTCCACAACACAGAGCAATGCTGGGGCTGTGCAGCACCCAGAGAGCCCCGCTGCCCCCAGAAGGGCTGTTGCACACTGCTGAGTGCCCTCTGGAGGGAGAGAGGCTCTTGGTGTTCTATAGCTGCCAACTTTGTGGGGTGTGCATGGTTTCCCAGGCTTTGATAGCTTGTGGATCCGCCGTGGGGTACTTGTGCTTCAGTGTGTTTTGATTCTGAGTGGCTGTTTATTTGTTTGTTTGTTTGTTTATTTAGATTATTCACAACTCCTTAGGCCTTAGGAGTCTGCGTATGGATGTGCAATCCCTTAGTAATGTGCCCCTGCAGCCTCTTGCTGTGTGCTTTTCCCATATCATTTTAAAGCAGAATGTAGTGTGGGACAGTCCCATCTCCTGACCTTTGTAAAATACAGCTTGTGAGCACATGTTTTCCAAGTGTTCTGCCTTAGGAATCCTGTTACTGCCTCATTAGGTCTTTGCATGTCCCACATCCATTGGGTGTTAGGGAGGCAGCTTCTCCAGGGCTCTGCATTTGGCCGGGCTGGCGCTGAGAATTCCAAGCACAAACCCGAAGGAGCAGGCAGGGCCCTGTTCCCCGTGGGCTGTGAGCCATTGGGTCACAGCACTGCTCAGCCCCCAGCAGTTTCTCACTGACCGTCTGTTTCTCCCACCTCTTCCCTCGTCTCTCCCTGAAGCCTCCGAGTCCCCCGGTCGTGCTGCCGTGGGTCCCGTGGTGCTGGCAGCCACAGTGGCCGTGCCCATCTGCGTCCTGTCCCTCGTGGCAGTGCTGGCTGCCTGCAGCTGCCAGGGCCGGCGCTGCGCCCGCGGCAGGACGAAGCCGCCCAACGTGGAGGAGCCGCTCTCCGAGTGCAACCTGGTCAGCGCGGGCAAGACGCTCAAGGACCTCATTTATGACATGACGACGTCTGGCTCCGGCTCTGGTATGTGGGCGTCCGTGTGAGCTGCGTCTCCAACCGGCCGGCATCTGTCCTGCTTCTGGACCATAGAATCACAGAATCATTGCAGGCTGCTCAGGGCAGTGCTGGCGCCCCATCCCTGCAGGTGCCCAAGGCCATAGATGGGGCCCTGGGCAGCCTGAGCTGCTGGGGGTTGGAACTAGATGATCTTTAAGGTCCCATCCAACCTAACCTCCCTCCAGTACTTGAAGGGAGTGTATAAACGGGAGGGGGAATGGCTGTCTATGGGGGTGGATAGTGATGGGACAAGGGGGAATGGTTTTAAACTGAGACAGGGGAGGTTTAGGTTGGATATTAGGAGGAAGTTTTTCACACAGAGGGTGGTGAGGCATGGAATAGGCTGCCCAAGGAGGCTGTGGATGCCCCATCCCTGCAGGCATTCAAGGCCAGGCTGGATGTGGCTCTGGGCAGCCTGGGCTGCTGGTTGGCGACCTGCACACAACAGGTCATTGGAACTGGGTGAGCACTGTGGTCTTTTGCAACTCAGGCCATACTGTGATTCTGTGATTCTATGATTCTGAGCCATTCTATGGTTTTGTGATTAAAGTTTGAAAAGATCACTAACATCATCTGGTTCCACTGCAAAACCACCCCTGCAGGTCTTTGGGGACATCAGAATCCCTGAACCATCTGGTTTGCAAGGGAGCTCTGGAGTTCCCCAGTGCAGGTTCCTGAAGCAGGTTCCAGGTGCTGGCAGTGCTTGTGCCGAGTACCCTGAGTGTGAGCACTGTGAGTCCCATGCTGAGCAAGGGCTGCGTGTGAATGGAGGGCAGCAGGGCCTTGGTGGGTGGTCTTGTCAGGTAGCCAAGCTCAATCCCCTGTTCTGGTACAGAAGTTAATGCATTGTGATTCAGATATTTGCTGCCAGTGCTGAAGGAGGCATTACTGCTGATGTGTTGTGGGTGGCCGCAGAGCTGGGTGAGTCGGAGAGGTGCTCCAGGATCTTCCTGAGGGCTCCAGGATACCATTACTGCACACACTTCTTTGGAGCAGAATCCCAACCTTTGTAATGTTTTATCCTTCTTATATCCTACCTACTCTGCTGTTATTGAGAACGTGCTAAATCAGTGAATCGCAAATCTCCAAGTTCCACATCATCACTCCATGGCACATGTAGTCTGTGTGGCCCAATTTGCTGTAACTAGGATTTTTATTTATCTGAAAAAAACACACATATTGTGCTTCATCTTATTAATAGGTGAAAAATATGTGAAGGGTGCTGAGTTTAGTTAACCATATTTTCTATGCCCACCTGAGGCACGGCCCAATGGGAAACCAGGAGCACATGCTGAGCTCCGTGTGCATGAAAATGACTCCCTGTTCAGAGGAGTACACAGCAGAGACAAGTGCAGGTCAGACGTTATTAATTCTGATGGCTTTTGCATTCTCAGCAGACACAGGCACAGGGGCAGAGCGTGGGTATGCGTGCTCCAAGTGAGGAAAATGTTATTGCTGCTGGTATTTCATAGCCCTGGGGTATGGCCCATCTCTGAGAGGTGAATATGACACAGGGCAGCCTGGGCTGAGCCTGCTGTGCGCGCTCTGTGCAGGGCAGGGCAGCGTGGGCTGCACTGGGTGCAGCGTGGCCTCAGCGGTCTGACATCCAGCAGTGGGCGACGTGCTTCAGATGGAAAGTGTGAATTGAGAACTTGATCTGGGGAAGGGTCGTTGTCTGCCAGCTCACTGGATGACCTCTGACTTCGGCCTTGGAAAACTGCTGGTGAAGTGTTTCACCGATGCTGTGCTTTCTTTTTGAACCAGGCTTACCTCTGCTCGTACAGAGAACCATTGCGAGGACCATCGTTCTGCAGGAGATCGTAGGGAAGGGGCGCTTCGGAGAAGTGTGGCGTGGGAAGTGGTGCGGGGAGGACGTGGCTGTGAAAATCTTCTCCTCGAGAGACGAGCGGTCCTGGTTCCGGGAGGCAGAGATTTATCAGACGGTTATGCTGAGACATGAGAACATCCTGGGCTTTATTGCTGCTGATAACAAGGGTACGGTGGCGTTTCTTCATTCCGTTTCACAACTGAGGGCTGGCTGGGAAGCAGACCATCATTGCACATTGCCTGGGGTGGGCTCTGACTGCTCTGTGTGCTGGGGTGGGCGCTGGCCAAAGGGCAGGGAGTGCTCCTCCACATGCCTTCTCTTAGGCAGCCGCATCTCCTTGCTTCTTCTCAACAGACAACGGGACCTGGACCCAGCTGTGGCTCGTCTCCGAGTACCACGAGCAGGGCTCCCTGTTTGACTACCTGAACAGGGGCACGGTGACGGCAGAGGGCATGGTGAGGCTGGCACTGTCCATCGCCAGCGGCCTGGCACACCTGCACATGGAGATCGTGGGCACGCAGGGTGAGCGCTCCTCCTCCCGATCCTCCGCCTTCACCTGCATTAGGGGACTGCACTGCTGCTGGCAGAAATGCTTAGCTGTCAGCAGAGCATTCTACATGCTGTTGCAGTGCAAGAAATGCTCTTAGCATAAGTGTACGTGATACAGTGCAAACAGAAGATAGGAAGCAGTCAGCCCGACTGAGCTTGCAGTCCTCTCAGCTTTTAAAGTGCAAATTTTCTGAGCTTCAGCACTGTTTTTTTTTGGGAGGCAGCCCAAACAGACCCTTCCTTGCCAGTCAGACATGAAGATCTGCTCTGCAATCAGACAAAGCTCTCTGCTGTTATGTGATGGCTCAGTGGTGCTGGCTCACCCAGGCACTCCTGGCCTGCTCCAGTCATCATAAGTGAGTGTCTGGAGGAGCACCTGTTGGAGGGTGCACTGATGAGCAGTTCCCTACCACTTTGGAGTGGAATTTTGCATTTCTGTTCCTGAAATACAAACATTTGAACAAAAACACCTTCAAGGTCTTGTTGCTGTTGCTGTTTTTTAATTGGATAGCATTAAGCAGAGCTTTACTTGGAATGGAATCGACTGTCATATCTTTTACAAGGAAGAGCACCAAAGCTGATTGCGGTCACTTTTCTTTTGCTTGCTCATTATGTTACAATTTTCTTTGTGGCCATCAGAACAGCCAGCACTCTCCTTCCCATGAACAGGCAAACCGGCGATCGCTCACAGGGACCTGAAGTCCAAGAACATCCTGGTGAAGAGGAACGAGAGCTGTGCCATCGCAGACCTGGGGCTGGCAGTGAAGCACGACTCCGTGCTCAACACCATCGACATCCCCCAGAACCCGCGGGTGGGGACGAGGAGGTATGGGTGCAGCAGGGTGGGACAGGGGGCAGCCAGCCCAGGGCAGGGGATGGGGGGCTGTGAGGGCCCCTCCAAGCCAACCGTTCTGCCGGGGTGTGATTCTGTGACCTGTGTCCCCTTTAAAGGTACATGGCTCCAGAGATACTGGATGACGCGATGAACACCAACATCTTTGAGTCCTTCAAGCGTGCAGACATCTACTCTCTTGGGTTGGTGTACTGGGAGATAGCACGGAGGTGCTGTGTTGGAGGTGAGCTGTCTGCCCTTGGCGTTTTGCAATCTGGACTGCTTTTATCCCAGATAAACACAGAGCAATTAAAGGAGCCGTGTCCCTGGCCCTGCACTCTCAATTATCTTGGCAGGATGTGAAGGTGGAAATAAATCTGTTGCTGAGCATTTTTTCTCCACCAGGAAATGAGGTGGCCACGAAAGTTGCTCTGTTCCTTCTCGTTGCCCATGAAAACATCAGCCATGCTTTTATCCTGGGGCAGCTGCTGCACATCTTGTGACGTGTCTGCTGCGTCTCTCTAGGGATCACTGAGGAGTACCAGCTGCCTTACTACGACGTCGTGCCTTCTGATCCCTCGATAGAAGATATGAGAAGGGTGGTTTGTGAGCAGAAGCTCCGACCAAATATTCCAAACCAGTGGCAAAGCTGTGAGGTAAGAGCAGTTCTTTAGGAAACCTCTCTAGATGCAGAGTTGCTCGGCGAGCCAGAGGGCGGTCGGTGTGGCTCCTAGTAAATGGCATGGCTGTTATGCTGCTGTTGCAGAGAGCTGTGTGTGATGTCCCAGTGTTCTCCCCATGACACTTTGCAGGCACTGCGGGTGATGGGCCGGATCATGCGGGAGTGCTGGTACGCCAACGGTGCAGCACGGCTCACTGCTCTGCGCATCAAGAAGACCATCTCACAGCTCTGTGTGCAGGAAGACTCCAAAACCTAGCGGCTCCAGCAGGAGGAGGGCACTGCGTTCTGCTGTTCATCTGTTGACATGTGATATTATTTTTCTTTTTGGTCTACCTCATGTGACGCAGGTCGGTATTTAAGTGCCCAGAACAGAGTGCTGCCATCTGGCTTCATAGCTGGCTACTGGAAGGGGCTCATTTTGACCTGTAGCTCTCGCTCTGTACAGCAAGCTGCTGGTTGGGCTGCCTGAGGAAGATGGGACGCTAGGTGAATAGCAGGAAGGAGCTTTAAACACGTCGGTGTAAATGTACCTTCTGCTATTGTGCTTTCTGTCCTTGTCAAAGCCAATGTGCTGCAAATCGCTGGGACTGCTTAAAGCACGTCTGCAAGAGAAGGCACAGCTTCATCCTCAAACCCAGCAAAAGACCAAATTTCATCAAGCTTTTTGCTGCTTCGACGCAGGGATCTGAGAAGGGGCTGTCAGTAAAATGCATTTTTAAATACTGTATTTGTCTTTACCTAAGCAAATAAGGTGAAAAAGGTTTCAAAGTGAGACAGGAGAGGTTTAGGTTGGATATTAGGAGGAAGTTTTTCCCCAGAGATTGGTGAGGCACTGGCACAGGTTGCCCAAGGAGGCTGTGGATGCCCCATCCCTGCAGGCATTCAAGGCCAGGCTGGATGTGGCTCTGGGCAGCCTGGACCTGCACACAGCAGGGGTTGGAAGTGGATGAGCACTGTGGGCCTTTGCAACCCAGGCCATTCTATGATTCTATGAAAATTCCACTGAGCATAAATATTGTGAACAAAAGCCTGTTTGTTGTTGTTGTTTGTTTTTGTTTTTGTTTTTACTTTTATTCTTCTTGTCTCAGTTTCACACACAGTATTATAGTCAGGAGTTGAAGTTATTTTGTTCTTTTCATCTGAGCTGAGTGCATCGATCAAAGGCCAATTGATTTCTCTCTAGGAAGTATAGTGCAAGCAATAATATTCTGGTGAATACATAGGAATGGAATGGGAGAAATTCTACTGAAGCTGAGAATGTGTGCATTTTTAAGCAGCTTCTTAGAAGTCTCTAAGACTTCTGTCCCACTCCGTGGCCATCTGTTTGAGTACAGTGCCTTTGCTTGCCAGCATTACACCTTGTGCAACAATCTTGCTTCTGTAGGTATTTCTAAATCCAGGTGGTCAGAGAAGTTAAAGCCTGCGACGTCCCCAAGTAGTGAAGGTTTGCAGAAATCTGGAGTAGCACCACAGCTCTGTGCAAGTGAGATTTTGGCTAATTATGGTCCTTATGTTCAATATTTGTCATGGAACCTCTTGAGCGGGGGCTTCTCTGTGGAGGAATGGGCTGTGTGGACGAGTGGGATGATCAGTATGATCAGTATTCCATGTTTCCTTCAGATGCACAAATGAGGATTTTATGGGCTCTAATGGATGCTAATTGGCCCGTAAATAGGATGGAATGAAACACGTCTCCTTGAATAACTTCTGTCTGCTTCTGCTTGTGTTGAGCAGCGCAAACCTCGCCTTGTTTTGCAGTCTGTTTGCTGAATGGTGAGAGTATTTCTATCAGATTGCCAGTAGAATTTGCCTAGCATGCTTTCTGAGATGTAATCAAAGTCATCAGATAGATTTTATTCTCATCTGCTTCTACTGCATGAACTATGCCAAGAGTTCAACAGATGGTACTTCCTAAGGTGCTGCAAGTGTGTAATCCCAATGGTGATACTCACATGAGCATCGAAGGATTTGCAGAGCTGAGGTTCAGAGTTTGCTCCTATTGAGAATAACCTGAAAAAAACCCTTTGTGCTGCAAAGGAAGCATGGAGGTGTTGGCTGCAGGGTGGGAAAAGGCCATCTGGTAACCACTGAGATCAGCTCCCTGAAACTGGAGAACAATTGATCTGGAACTGATAGCAGTGGGCTGAGAGTCATTTCTCCTTACTGCTTTGCTTCCTTTGTGCCACCCTGTGAGGGCACTGCGAGGTTCCCACAAGGATCAGTCTGCTTTCCCTGCTTTTCCCTTAGCTCAGTGTTTTTTGCAGTGGGTTTTTTGCCTTTTGTTGAGAGGTGAATACACATCTTAACAAACTGCAGGTACACGTAAGGGAGCCAGGTGGCCGGTGTTGCTGTATGGGGCTTTAAAATGTTTGTAAGCTGTACCCTCCCTTTAAAAACACAACACAACATTTGTCTTGTCACCCTTTCCCTCCATGTAAACACCCTGTTTAATAACAGAGGTTATACTCAGTTATTTCTTTGCTCCTTAGGGAGCCATGGGCTTCTTAAGAGAGAGATTACAATCTCTGCTGCTAATCTGCACTTAAAGTGCAGACTCTTCAGCTCATGGGATGTTTCAGGCCTGGGGATGCTGGATGCTGCTCATCGCCCAGCCCTCCCAACCTATTTAAGCCATTATTCTCACCTGGGGGAATTACTTTACATTTTTTTAAGCTTTCTAGTAGTAAAAACCTACAATGATGTGTGCAGAACATGAACTGAAAGGGAAAGTTAATTAACGAACGTTTAGCACCTCATTTATTTTATGTCTCCTTAAGTCTTCCCCCATTAAATACCCCATGAGAAACTCAAACTGCAATCTCTTTTGCACTTTGCTGCTCTTATGGTCGTTTGCACTCCACCGGACTCATTCCCTCAGGTAACCCCACAGCAAGTCCCATCACACACCACTTCTGTCTGTTGGAACTGGGGAGGCACTGCTCTGTGTGCCCAGAACCTTTTGTGGGCACACAGGGGAGGAAAGCAGCCAGAGGCACAGTGCATTTCTGCAGGACATAAGACGTGCAATAAGCTGTAACCAAAGGCTCCGAATGTATTTTTGGCATAAATAGACCGAATGTATTTTGAATGTAGCTACAACATTTGTGTCTAAATCTGCTGTGGTTCTTTCAGTCCCCAAAGAGAAATGCGTCGCGTTTTGTCAACCTCAAAAACCAGCTTGGGTTGTCTGTTCTATACAGAAGCATTCATACTTTATCTGGAAGTGCTGCAATACTTTAGAACTTAGCGATGAAATTCAATCTGCACCTTGTGAGATACCCAATCTTGTGTGCATTGCAGCAAGTTCATAAAACTGTTGCTAAAGTTGCTGCTGGATGTAAATAATTAGTTGAGATGCTGTGTTTTGTATGCGTATTTTACAGATCAATATACTCTCGGAAAGGTTGGGAAGATTTTAATAAACTGAGCACACTCTGCCCTTGTGTCGCCGTGATGTGCAGAGCTCTGTTTGTTGTCTGTGCTGGGAGGGCAGCGGGGAGGGCTGAGGCAGCCATAGGCAGCCCTGGGGCTGTGTGCCCAAAGGAGAGAAGGCTGAGGGCTCTGAGCAGCGCTGACCCACAGCTGAAGGGCAGGGAATGGGGCCGGGCTCTGTTGTGCAGCGCCCAGCACCAGGACAAGGGCACACCGGAGCCCAGGAAAGTCCGTGAGGGAGAACTCCTGTGCTGTGCAGGTGGCAGAGCCCTGGCCAGAGAGTCATCACCTGGGACTTTAAGTTGGGCTGTGCTCAATTTAAAGATATGCTGGTGCAAAGTCCTGCGCTACAAAGCTATGTTGAGATGCTCACAACTGTTGCAGAATGCTGTAGGCTCTTGTTCTCTTGCAGTCAGCACCGTGTAACTGGCAGTTGCTTGTGAGTTCTGTCCTTCTGCAGGTGCTGCAGGGAGCTTTGGAAGCAGTCTGCCTCAGGGATGCTCTGGCTGTGGGCACAGTGCTGCAGGAGGAGGTGCATGCTTTGAGGCCAGCAGCAGCTGCACGGGGCTCACCAGCACTTGCTGCTCCCCTTGGAGAGCCCAGCGCCTGCTGGCACATCAGTAGGATGTTGGGAGGTGGAGGTGCTCAGGGACACTCAGTACTCTTTGGGTCCAGAGGAGCCCAGGCTGATGCTCTGTGTGCTTGTGTCCAGGCCAGCCAACTGTGCTGCAGTCACCACTGCACACTGGTGCCAGCTCTGTGCTCCCTGGGTACAGGGCCATGTGCTGCTGAGAACGGATGTCTCCCTCCTTCCTTCTGCCTGGTAAGGAGTGTGGGCACGGCCATGGATCTGGGAGGTGGGGGGCCGCCGGTGGCATGTGGCACAGTCTGCTCCAGTGGGCATTCCCACCACTTCCCGAGCATTCCAGAGCTCAGTTAGTGCTGAGCCTGGCACTGGGCCATGCTGGGATGCTAACTGCTATTCTTTTCCATTCAGCTCCCCTTGGAGATCTGCAGCTGGTGTTTCAGTCACAGCGATCTGAACGCAGAGCAGTGGTAAACCCGACATTGCCTGTGGTACGTAAAGGCTTTGATTTGTAATGGCAAGTGCTGTTGCAGCTTGAAGATGTCAATGGCGGTTCTGGGGAGGCCTGGAGGGCAGTGTGCACCCCTGTGTTATTGTGTGCACGGAGCGTGCATGTGGAAGGAGCACTGTGTGCCATAGTGCCTGCTGAGCTCCCACAGGCAGTAGCTGCAGTGCTGGGCTTACAGCCATGGGGTAGCATGGGTCTGCTTGCAAACAGCTGGGGTTGCTGGAAGCCGAAGCACCCTGTTTGGTTCTTTCCTGGGCCAGAACAGGCTGTGGGAATTCAGGATGTACGTGAGTGCAGGAGAACCACACGGACAGTCCATAAAGAAATTAAAGGGAGGAAAAATGCAAAACACCCAGATAACCAAAGGCCAAACCATCCCCCGTCAGTGGGCTGCAGCGTTTTCCTCTCTTATTACGTCCTATTGCATCTTTGCTACTCAGTAGCAGAAATTGAAAGATACTGTTTCTTTTGTTGTTTGCTTGTTTTTGGTTTCTTTCCCCTTGAAATATCTTTGTAGCGTTTTTCTCTACAAACAGCCTTCCAAAACTTAGCAGGGGGCTTAAAGTGTGCTTGCAACTGTTTCATAAACCCATGTTCCAGAGACGTTCTGCCAGCACGGTTCTTCTGCACCGCGCACCCTTAGCACAGAGCTCCTGCGGGATGGGGGCCCTGTGCGGGGCGGCACGGCTGGCAGCTCGAGGGAAGGAAGGACGGCTGCAGCTCGAGGGAAGGAAGGAAGGCTGCAGCCCGCAGGAAAGCCTGCTCAAGCCGCTGAGCGCCGGCCGTGTCTGCTGCAGCTCCGAGTGCCTCCAGAGGTAGAGCAGCGCAGTCCTGTTCCTTAGCGCTGATAAACGTGCAGCAGCTCTCTTTGCTGTTCAGAAATTGGTTTCCAGTGGAGCAGGAAGTCACTGCGGGGTAACCGTAGGTGCGCTGACTTCTCGGGCCCTCTCGTGGACGAACAGATCTCTGCAGCTGCGGCTGCTGGGCGCTGCGTGGCAGGGAGCGGCGGTGCGGGCTGAGGAGGCTGCCGGGATCTGGGGAAGCTGCCGGGATGTCTGAAAGCAGCGAGGCAGCAGCCGCAGCTCCGGGCCCCGCCGGGGGCTCAGCGCCCCATGTCCTGCTCCTGGAACACGGCAGGGAGGGCTCCAGTGAAACCCACTCTCAGATACTGAAACCACTGGAACAGGCTGCCCGAGGAGGGATGGATGCCCCATCCCTGCAGGCATTCAAGGCCAGGCTGGATGTGGCTCTGGGCAGCCTGGGCTGCTGGTTGGCGACCTGCACACAGCAGGGGGTTGGAACTGATGAGCACTGTGGGCTTTTGCAACTCAGGCCATTCTGTGATTCTGTGATACTGAACAATGCACAGTGCAAAGCTATCATGAAGTCCTGACGTGCTCATATGTTTATGGCAGTGAGATACAGTCAGATGGGGCAAATCATGCAGATACTTCATGCACTTCTGGATTGCTGAAACTGCATCCATTGTGAAACACCTTTCTGATTTCATTGGGAAGTTCAATGAGAGCTGGTGGAAACCTACTGGCTGTGCTCATGATCATCATCTTACACTTTGCAAATGTTCAAAAATTTCACGTCAAATCATGGCAGCTGAGGTGAGGAATGTAACACTTCTGGACATCTGGATATCTTGAAAATGAGCCCTGTTTTATGAAAATCTTTATTATTGGTTAGGAAGTGGAGAGGAGCCCATGAGACAGCTCAGCAGAGCAGAGGCATAGGGCTGATGCACGTTTGGGTTTGCAGACCGTTGTTCTGAGTCATTGCACGGCTTGCCAGCTGCTTGTCAAGTGGAAAATCTGGTAGCACAAAGGACGAGTAGATAAACAAAATGGCTTTTGTGGCTTTTCTGTATGTATGTACAAGTGCAAAAATACAAAGCCTTCTAAAAATACCGAGAGGCTCTTTGGAATGGTGCAGCACAGGGATGTGCTCTGGGCGGCGATGCAATGCTGCCTGTCCTGTCTGTCCTGGTCCCCAGCACGGTGTGACCACAGTGGGCTGCCCTGCCTGCTCTGCCCTGGGCCACTGGGTGCCACGTTGGGCCTGGCCATGCTGAGATGGCCATGTGGGCATGTGTGCGTGTCCGTGTCCCCATGGAGAGGGCGATGGGGCCGATGATGTGGTTTCCACAGAGCCCTGATCTATTTAATTTCTCTTCGCAGAAGATTTAATTTCTCCTCTCAGCTTGTTTGCAGATGTGTCACTCGGTTTCAGAAACTAGAAGAGGGTTGCCTGAGGAACTGAAATGCACTTTGTTTTCAGAGCTGCTCAGTGTGGTGATGGTGGGCAGGAAAAGAGGAAGAGGCTTTGAGTCACCGCATCCCCGCATTACTCAGCCTGCTCTGGGCACTGCTGTCATCTCTGAGGTACATCTCTGAAAAGAAGGAAGAGCTTTCCTCCCATCACACACTGCTTTCCTTCTCCTCTTTCCTTTCTCCCTTTCCTTCTTTGTACATACATATCAAACATAAAGAAGTTTCCATGGCCATATTTTAAATTGGATATATTTAATAGTACTAATGGTAACTCAGCTGCTGGCTGAAAAAAGAAATGACATTCCTCAGGATCCCCAGTGAGATGCAGACAGGCAATGTCCTTCACAAGACGTCCAGTGTCAGGTGGGGGATAATCTCTGAGGCATTACAGATCATTCCTGTCAAGGCATTGGGATTTATACAAGGGAAAAATAAAAATCCCTTTGTTTACTGTTGTATCCCAAAGTTCTGTCTGCTTGTTCTAAAAAGTGGGATACACTGTTTATCTGCCTCCTGTATTACCTACATCAGCTGCAAAATCTGCGTTATATCCATCCTTTGATAGCCTGGATTTGTGGTGCCAGGAAACAAGCGCTGCAGTGTGCTGATAGCCTCAGCTCTGGGGGCTGACATGAAAGCCCCCCCCCAAGACCAGGATATGGGCACCACTGAGCTGCAGAAGCCAGGCATTTATTCCAGGAGGCCAAGGTGGGAGATGGCTGCACACCTCATGGTCAGGAAACACCTTCAGTGCCCCACTGTCCTTCCCTGTCAGCTCAGGGCCGTGAGCTGAGTCTGCTTGGCCTGCAGAACTGGGCTGCTTGGCTCCTTCTTCAAGTCATTTTTGACTTCCTTTCTAGCCCTGAATAGTTTTGAAGACTGCTATAGCAACGTAGCATTTTTTGATTTGCTATCCTTCTTAAGAAGTAATTTGCATCGTAGAACCATAGAATGGCTTGGGTTGGCTGGGACCTCAAAGACCATCTAGTTCCAACACCCTCACCGTGAGCAGGGCTGCCAGACCATGGATCAGCCTGCCCAGAATCCCATCCATCCTGGCTGGAACGCCTCCAGAGATGGGGCATGAACAACCTCTCTGGGCAGCAGTGCCAGTGCCTTAAAACCCTGAGTGAGCAATTTCTTCGTAGCACCTGAAACCTCCACTCTTTCAGTTTAAATCCATCCTCCCTTGTCCTACCGCTATGTAGCTGAGCAATCCCACCTCTTTCAACCTTTCATCACAGGAGAGGTGCTCCAGCCCTCTGATCGTCTTCGCGGCCCAGACATCGCTCCAGAAATTATTTGGAATTCAATGTGAAAGAAGAAGGTAAGATGAGGCAACACAAGATGAAAAAATAAAAAGAAACCTTGACCAAAAGGTGAGTCCAGGGAGAGTGAAATGTGCGTGCAGGCATTCTGGGGGTTGCTTGGCTGGCCATGGAGGAGACCCCGGGGGGTGAAGCTGCCTGTGCCTGGTGCTGCACTGGGAGCAGCCAGCAGTGATCTCATGTTGTGACCCATGTGTGCTGAGCTCTGGCAGTGCAGGGTGAGAGCCATGGCAGCTCCTCCCCTTGTGCTGACATGGCGAGGGGCTGCCAAACGAAGGGAGGAAAACTACTGCACTCTTGCAGAGATGTGATTTAA